ACTCGGTCACTTTTAAATTACATAGTCTTTTAGCCATTATTATTCACTATTTATTTACAGTTTCACTTCTTATACCAATGTCTCGATATGGCCAGCGCTAGACTTCATGTCGCGGGTACGGTAGTGAACAAAGAACAGAGTAGGCTTCAGACGATCTCACGACAATACCATTAGCCTTTAATTTCAGTTTGTGACTTGGTCTCTTTCGTCTAATGATTTTTGGGTGTAAAAATTGTTTGCCAACAGCAGTATTATGGCTCGCTTCATGTTTGCCAAAATTTCAAAGTATTTCAGGATATAAACAAAGTGTAATCCGAATTCGGCTCGGAGGCCGTACCCTAACTCGTGTTTAAAATAAACCATTCACATAATAATATTTCTCTTTATAATTCAAATAAAAAGGAATTTGAAATTTGTTGGAAATCATTACATTATTTTTCCTTGCTGTTTTTTAGCTACTGATATTATAAAAATACTAGAACAGTTCAAAAATAAAAACAACATCACTAAATAACAATAAAATATAAGATTTTTTTAAAAAACTAACGTAAGAACCTAGACCTGTAGTAAGATTCCAAGTAGAATAGTTTCTGTCAACTCACTTTTTTTTTCGTGACGTCACCGCGTCCTTAGCAACTTTGATGAGACACCGTTTCAGTCTACGAACTGTGGTCTCTACTTTATTCTATCTCGATAGTTGGTTTATAATGGGTGTGTTCTGTGGTTATAATTTGATAATTAATTGAACATATATGAGATGAGCTAAGAGAGGACAGTAAGATTAAATATAACTTTTTATCTCAAAAAGTTGACTGAAAAGAAAGAATATTGTACACAACAGACGGAAAAATAAAACACTCCTCTCCTTTAAATCTTGAAAATATTAACTCTTAAAATTCAACGCATTAATACAAAATATAGAGTGCTTTAGATCAGGTGTTCCAATTTTTTTTTTTTTTTTCGTACGTGGGCCAAATTCCTTAATTAGTTTAAAAAAGAGTGGGATGGCAGGCTGCACATTGTAACAAAACTGTAGCTACTTATATATTTTATTTTGTGAATTAGTTACAAGCTAATATACATAATATTATGCAATGTGTAAGTCTATGAATCTGAAATACGGTCCCAAAAAACGATGCTAATTGAGCTTTTACAATTCACCGCAGGGGCACAGGCCTGTCACTCCCAATACTTCCATGTTAAATTCTGGCTCAAATCTCAATGACCTCGGTACATCTTCTCTATTGGTCTGGGGTATTTTTGACAAGTCTGGAGTCACCAATCAGAACATCGGTTGCTGTCACATGAGAAAAATTACATCTAGAAAATTGATTAGTATTTTTGCAGTTTTTCACTGGACAGACCTTCATGATGTAATATTTATTAAAAAATACAAATCTATAACAAAATTTGATTACAGATAAATGTTTAAGCCAAAAAGAGAAATTATCAGAAAGCTAGGTTATATTAGATTAGATGCATTTTACCCGCGTAAAATATTTTGAATTTTCAAGGACACATTCTTTCAGATCGATTGATAATTAAGTGCGATCTCTTGTGTTAAACTATACTCTTTGGCAGGGGCGCGTACTGTTGTTGCAAGTGATGTTAAAAATACATGGCTTCTTATAAAAATTTTACATATTTTTGTGAACATAATAAAAATAAACTTGTTTTCTGCTAAATAAAGCATTTAGTTGATGAATTATTTAATTATATCTATATAAAATGTAAATGAGGTATGACCAAATTCGAAAAGGTTTTTAAATGGTAAAATTTGGTAAGTACCTAAGATTTTAAGGGTAATTTTTTTTTTAATTTACCTAAATATAGTGCTTAGTGCAAAATAAAACACGGTTACCCGATTTTTTATTGTTATAATACCAGTATAAAGGGTTATTCGGGAAAATAGTCTCATAATATTTGAAAATATCTTCTAAAAAGTGTAGTTCGCAAACAGCAACATCTAAAGAAAGTGCTTTATCAGCCCTAGGAATAAAATTGTTACGCAGGTTTTTGGTATCTCAATTTATTTCAACTCAATTTTTACAATAATAATACAACTGACATTATTAACGTATAACGTCTATCATAAAACTGAAACTGACGTCAGGATCCCAGCTTATATAGCTTGCTTTAACCTTCTCGAACATTCTCGAACTGTCTAGACTTTTCCTTGACGTAGAATGACATTTTCAGACATCTCTGGACTATTCTATCTTCTTTTGCTAGTACTTTTACCTATGACGACCACAGCACACTGTAGAGCGATGAATAATATTGCAATTCTTTTTTTGTATTCGTACGTTTCCTATAACAGCCGCAGGCTACTGCAGGGTGCTGCGTGACAATATATTTAATTTAATCTGTAATTAGTAATTATTGTTTTGTGTAAGTGAGGATTTAGGGATGTAAAATTTAATTTTATAGAAATTTGTAATAAAATAAACTACACTCTGTAAGATACGGGTTGTGAATAGTTTACAATAAATATTATATTCAGAAATAAATACGCTATTTTACTAGATGTAAAAACAACTTTAAATTTATTTCTCCTTATGTCTTCTTTAGCCCATTTTACAACCTGGAACCAAGCAGGGCTGGTATATCTAAGGGGGTCGCGACATAGACCCAGTAAATAGATGAGGGGGTGACTGAGGCTAGGGGGGAAATAGTAGTCAGCTTAAGTTGGCAACACTTTTCTGATGTTCGTTTGAACGAGCATCGTGCATAATAATGTCAATATGGTAGAAGTGGAATGAACGAATGAACCACTGTTTTCCTCGTAGTCGTAGTCCAATGTCGAATTAAAACTAAAAATATTTTGTACTTTTTTATATACCAAATTATGCAATTTGTTTCCACTTTATTTTAATGTTACATGAAGAGGTACATGCGTTTGTGCTGTGGTAAATAAGTGTTCATGTGAAAATTATATCTTTAAACTACATTGTGACTGCACTCATCTCGAAACTGAATGCTGTAAATCCAGTATTTAAATCTTTCATAGTGTTGCTTGGGATAAATTGTAAAAAAGGTGTTGGACAAAACGTTTACAACCTAAAATTGCATGAAAAACATGATAGAAGAAGGAATTGTACCTTTATGACATTCTCTTTCAACATTTTTAAGTGACTTTGTGGTTTGGTGAATGGACTGTTACCACAGTCAAAATATTCAAAGTAAAAAAAGTGACCAAGTTCTAATAAGAATACATAAGTTGAATATGAAAAAACTTGATTTAAATGTGATTTAATTAAGAGTTACATAGATGTTTTATATAAACAAAGTGCTGTAAAATGTTAATAAATGCAAAACTATTATTAAAGAGAAATTAGTTATCATCAATAAGATATTTTGTAGTAGCTGGTCTCTATAAATAATAAACTTGAAAGACTGAATTAGTAGTCACTTTTACACTAGAAGAAAAAACAAAAAAAAAATGTGTGTGGTTGAGACTAATTTGTGTTATTAATAAAAACAAATTTAGCATAAAAGCAGGTGTTATTTGAAATGTTTTATTTTAGTTTAATAATCTTTATAAATTGTGGGTACATTTGATCCGAATCTTGCAAATACTATAAAATGCATATGCTTCTATATGGTTAGTATTGGAGTATAAGCACAAAAGTTTTGAATAAAAATATATTCTTTAAATACAATATTCACTAGATATGCTAATTTTGGTAATTTTCTATTCGAAACCATACATGTTTTCTATTATAGTTTTCATACGTTTATAATTCTGGAGATACCGGAATATTTTGCTTGATTACTAAACTTTGGATGTTTTTGTTGTAGTCTGCTGTTAACACTATTGTCCTGAAATATTAAAAAAAACTAGACAAAGGTTTGTCCAACTCTTTTGTCAGCTTTGTTAATCTATGCTACTGTTATTCTGCATGCAGACATTTTTTACTGGAGATTTTCTCTAAGAACTGTATTCAGTTTCAAATTTCGGCCAGTTTTAGGAAAGTACCTCTGTTGTAAAGGTATTTCAAAGCCATCCTTTGTGAGATGTAGACAACAAATACATGCTAACATGTATAGAAAAATCGCAAGATATTTCACAAAATTATTTAAATTAACTAAAAACATACAAATGAAGTGAATACCTACCAACAATTTAAAAAGACCTAAAATAAATAGACTTAAGGGACTGGAGCTCTAAAAAAGGGAGCAATAATTTGTTATGCATAATCTATAAGAAAATTGTCTTCATCTCTTCAATTACCTAATAAAATAAACAAAACCAAAACAGCACAAAATTGAAAGTGATCTACTTTTCCCGACGTATTCTATGTACATCTGAGATTAATAATTTATTAAATTGAAATATTTTATCCTAAAAAATATGGGCATTTTATAATGGAAATGTCATTTGAAAAATGACATTGATTTTTTTTCTTATATTGGTAAACCTGGCGACTACAAGTTGCCACGTTGCCAGATCAATGGCGACTACTATTTCGAAAAAAATGGCGTCCAAAATGGACTCCTATGTCGCGACCCCCTTAGATATACCAGCCCTGGAACCAAGTAAATCTTGCTTTGATGTTTTCTGTCAATTATTTTTCTACAATCGACATACAAATAAGTACGCTTTTGCAAACGCTTTCAAATTTCAATAAAAAGATGACATTTTTTGTGCTGCTTATTAGCGATAAGCATTAATCAATTATCGCTCGCTGTTGAAAAATATGATTGAAATTAAGTTATGCATCTAGCTTACATAACAATTGGTTCATATTAAATTAATTTTAAATGTATTATTTAAAAGTAGAAAATAAGATGATTATAACCCTTATTTGTACAAATATTACACAAATATTTTTCACTAAAACAAAATATTTTTTAAAAAATTGGAGGCAATTATGTTTACCACCGAACCAGAACAAAGGCGGAAGTATTTCCTGAAATGACTTGTTAATGAAAATAATTGACAGCTAAATTGATTTAAAAATAAAGGTTGGCAGTATTTCGACTATAAAAGGCGTCCACCTTATTATGATAGACGTAGTTTGATTCCCGAGTTTCTAAAATCAAAATGTTGCGATTTTCCGTATTTGTATTGTTGATTGTTGGTTTGTGCAGTGGCAAGGTTAATATTTTTATGTCTTACAGTAATTACCAATTATTTATTAACAACAAAGTATCCAGGCGGTATAAAGGATATAATCGAGAATTTAAATGATATATCATACTTTTATCAATATAGAATTAGTCCAATCATTATATTATAAATTGAAAAAATAGGCTTTGTAAATCCAAAAATATCGTACCCAATTTTTTATAACGATTTTATATATTTTTTAAATTTAAATTAACATAATCCTGGCTGATTGGGAAAAGTTGTACAGCAGGGAAACGTGTTTCATTTTATATTACATAAAATACGCATACTATGACCAAAATAGTGAGAAACTTTGTTTAGAATATAAATTTTTATTTAATTATTGCTAGATATTTGGTAAGATATAGTGCACCAACTTTATATAACGGGTATAGTCATATATAATTTTTTTTCTTAGATGTTTTCTCATGAGATGTATGTAATATAATTTCCATTATACAGGATGCTCCGGGAGGGTGATATATATCAAAGTCAGGCTATTTAAATGGGACATCCTGTATTTTATTACATTTTTGAATTCTATAGAAAAAAATAGTGTAAATTTATAAAGGGTTTGTTATGCCTAAAGTCTTTCATTTTTGATATTATATTCAAATGTTTTCAAAATTATGGGGTGTTTAAAAAATGCTATTAATATCCTAAATTTTTTAATGAATTAAATTGATTTTTTAAGTACAAATAATTAAAAATCAAAAATATTATACAGGGTTAACGAAATAGATATCTATTTTAAGTAGGTTCAAACATTTAACCCTATTCTTGGCAAGAACAGATTCACGGGAGAAATTTTTTTTTTTTACATATTTGGTGTATATTTGAACAAAATAACGCAAAAAGAGAAAAACAATTTTTTTTTTGCTTAATTTTGATTTTACAGACCCCTATTTTTATGTATATTGTCAGATACGCTGCCAGCTTGGCGGCAATATTGTGTCGTATCCTACGAGATACTACGCCTGGTTAAGGATACATAAGTTTAGTGTTCTCTCTGATCAAACTGTACACTAATGACATAGGCGTCACATTTGGCAGTTTATCGGGCATATAATTCTAAACCTTTTTAGCAGGAAAGTCAATAATGACTCTTTTTGCATGTTGTTTTATGCTACAGAACTGTGGATATAGATACTGGTAACGTATATATTTTGGTTTTGACCACAAATAATAGAAGCAGTAAAGTTAAGCATATTTTCGCAATTCGCTTTTCTCAGTAAAGAGTACGCGCCTTTAATTTCAAATAATTAACTTAAAATAATCCAAATAGCTAAAAAAACTCATATTTATTTATAAAAATCAAATTAAACCTGAAATTTTATAAAAAAAGTTAAAAATACAGAAAGTTGAAACAAAACTAAAACTACAATATGAATAAACAAAAAAAAAACGTGGCATTCATATGATATAAATTTATTGCAGAATAATAATCAAAATAGATAGAATCACTGACTTCATTTACTAAAAATCAAACATAATTTCCAATTCTATTAAAAAAAATTTAAATATACAGAAAGTTTATGAAGCCAGGTCTAACCAAAATTTTGTGCGGTTGGCCTACAAATAAAAATAATAATATAGTGTACGCCATTAAATTCCACGGGCGTGATTTTTTACCGAGTACTTGGTAGCGTGTCCCACCAGATACAAATTTAATTTACTATGTACTTGGCAGCGTATCGCCTCAGAAACATAACATTTTAGACAGTCTCTAATTTTTTTATGTTAGAAGTTTACTAAGGTTTGCATGTAGTACAATAGTATTGATATATTTCTATGTGTATGCGTACTCATATCTTATTATCGCGCCTAATTTCAAAAAAAAAATTAATTTTAATAACAAGTGTACTCGCCATTTCTCAAAATGTTCGATTTCATCAACATGCATCTATTTCAAATGACATATCTCGACTAAAATGGAAACAATTGACTTCAAACCTAAAAAGCCGTTAAAACAGAGTGTGGTACATACGGTGTTGCCAACATCATCTTCAAATTTAACGATTTACTACTTACAAAAAAAATCGGAAAAATTGTTATCTTGAGAGATAAGACGGCAAAAAAGGGTTAAAATCTTGTTATTTTAAATAGAACACCCAATATATTTTAACAATATTTGAAATATCTTTCAAAATCCTTTCGATATAAATCTATCTTTTATAGTTTTAAATTTATAGAAGCGTAGTTATTATAATTTATTAAAATAACTCGTTACTCAAGGTGTCTAGGCATTATTTGTAGGTTTAAGTTTTTTAATTTAAACTGTTTTTTTAATATTTTTTTCGATTAAAAGAATTATTTTATTCCTGTTTCAAAATTTTATTTTATATCCTTTTTCTTATGTCATAAACTTACAAAACTTAGATTGACTTTATTTTAATAATGTAGTTGCTATGTAGCACATGTCCATAGATCTCAGGAACCCTAGATACAGCATCGAAAACAAATAATGTTGACCCCACATGCTGGGAGCCATGATAACTAAATGTTAATGTGGCACTACCGACAAGACAGAATCGACGCGAAGTTACTGTAGAAGATATAAGAAAGGAGTAACTTTTCACAAATATTTGTCAAAACATTTTTGGAATTAATGGTTGACAGCTATAGAGAGACCATTGATTGATAGTTGTTTGAAATTATACCTAAAATGTCATGTTTCCCTCATGCAATGGTGGACTGCGAAACACTACTTCGGTCGAGACGACCAGTAAAATTGCAAAAAACTTTGACCCTTTGGGGCATTCTAAAATTAATTTGATGATATTGAGATTTATTTTATAATATTATATAATATTATATAATAATAATACTCTTCCTAATTCACCCCCTTACAAGTGAATTTTAACCCCTGAAGTTGATTGAACGACTTGTGTAGGGGAAAGGACGGCTATCATTATTATTTGTCGTGACTCTCCGGGGCAACTTACAGATGACTGATGGTGCCATTTGACTTACAGGCGAGGAAAACCCGGAAAACATCACTCACCATCATCGAGATGGTAACGCATAGCGATTTTATAATCTGCATGTCATATCAACAGAAATTGAATTTCTGTTAATACGGCATAATTAACACTAATGCATAATAGGGCCTTTAAACCATGATCAACGAGTTTAAGGCCACGAATGCTTTAAAGCCGATTATGCATTGTGTCATACGATATTTTTTAGTAATGCGTAATTAAAATAATAATAGTAGTAATAACTACAATCATTTTATTTAAAAAATGCAAATTAATAATTTCCATGCATTTTATCGAGTGGGTAGGTAAATGTCATTTGACATTTCATTTAACTATCAAAATAAATTTTCTTTTCATGTTACTTGATTTAGGTAAAGCTGTAAACAATTTGATTAATTTGACAATAATTTAAAATAAAATCTGACATAATCTAATCTTATTTATTGAAGCGGTTACCTAGCAACCTTTATAGACATGGCGTGCGATAAAGTCCTGATTATACACGCCTTTGGGTTTGTTTGGGATAGTTTATGATACATGAATACTAAAAAATAACATTCACACGCAACTTCATTAGGACAATAGTAAGCGTCCAATGAAATAAATCGACTGTCAAAGTGATGCCACGCAGTCGGGGCTTGCTTTGTTTTATATTTTGAAATAAAATTTTAACTTTTATGAACTTTTTATATAGGATTCATATAGTAACAGTTTCGTTAGTTTCGAAAAATATTTTAGAAACTTCGTGTGTGAAGAATCTTCCACGCATTTACACAACTAAAGCATTTGCTTCTTCGTCGCTCATGCTTATAGTCTACCCGCACTTTGTTCGTAAATAACTATTATTACACATGATAATAAATTCTGGAATAACACCGTCTTAATATTTTTCCAACCAACCAAATATACCTGTTTCCCCAAGAAGGACCTAAAACAACTGAAGATTATCTGATTAAAAACAAGACGATTAAAAAAACATGCTTTGGTAAATTGTTACTTATTTCCGAAATATAGGGTGTTATAGTTTTTTTTTTTTTTTTTTTTTTTTTTTTTTTTTTTTTTTTTTTTTTTTGGCATAGGCACATTGCCATTCAGCCAGACACAGGGTGTTATAGTTGAAAATTCAAAAATTATTAATGGCTAGGTATAATTTTTTTATTACTCATTATAATTTTACTAAATGCGGCCAATGTTTTTAGTGTCATAAGAAACTTCTATTAGTAAAAAATAAATGAAATTTGCCAGGGGCATGCAGTATGAATTAATAACACCTTTATCCTTTCTAAATTTGACATAACTCTTTAAAAATTATTTGGACTAATAATATAAAAATTATAGCCATTAATTATTTTTGAAATTTCAACTATATCACCCTGTATTTCGAAAACATACCTATAAACATACTTTGATTTTCTCTTACTATACGGAGAATGGTCGCACTGCGCAACTTTCTGAGTGCCTTTTAAAAGGAGATAGAAAACTCCGCCATTTTGATGCCTTATTACGTGTTGCCCATATATTGGCGCAATATTTGTAATATTTTGCTTGCTGCTGTCAGTGTCAGTGACAAAGAAGTAGAGAGGGTAGAACGATAAGGTACCGTCTGCGCATATATCACGAGTGTATAAATTATGCGTGATTCAGCCCTCCATTCTTACTCACGTAAATGACAAGGAGAGGTTGCCCTAAAGCACTGTAAACAAATTCCAGGATTGACTTTATTCAGCGATAACTGTTCATGTTCAGCTGTTTTTTGTTTGTGTTTTGGCTGTTGTAAACTTTTTTGGCGTCAATTCTTTGTTATCTTGCTTATATTTGTGATTTTTTATGCTTTTATTCTGATTTAGTATTAAATTAAACTTGTTAATTATTTTTCGATGCACTATTTTATAATTGTTGCACAAAATGTTGTTAAACCGTCCCTGAATCTTGTTTACCAAATGTGCAAAACAAAATTGTGCATAGTGTCCAGACTTTTTCATTGACAGTTATCATTCTACCCCTCTCCACTTCATTGGTCAGTGAATATTATTTTTAGAGTCGTAGTTTATTGCTAAAGAATCAGTTAGCTCACTTGGATAAGTCGAAAGTTCCAAAATAACATCCACTACAGGGATACAAATTCAGGATGCGCAGAAGACTGCTGTTTTATTATAGGCGGTTGTCATATATTGTATTTTTCGAGTTGCGCAGTGTGAGATCAAAAGTGCCGACGCAGAGTGATCGAACTGATTCTTTAGCTATAAACTGTGGTAAAGGTATCAAAACGGCCGCGCCTTATGTTGGGCGTGTCGGACCTCTCTCTTGCACCGTACAGTAATCAAAGTATGTGCCTATAAATTTTTTATCTCACTAACTCACAAATAATAAAAAAGTGTATATTGTCACTGTTATTCTATTACAGAACACAAAAACTAATAATCAGTGTAGCTAAAATAACATGGCCACGGCATAATAAACAATCGGCAGGCTAACTTGTCTTGGCGGCAACGCTACGCGCACATCTACGCGCACACCGCCATTTTGGGGTCCAACCTCTCAATCAAGCCAGTGGCGTCGCTGTCGTCGTTTATATCGACAAAAACAAACAAGTTGCAGTAGCACGGAATCAGTAGCGTGTATCTTAAATTTATTTTGTTTATGATGTTTGTATTATGTAGTTATTGTTATTTTTTTAGAATTATAGATATTTTTTGACACTTTTTATATAGTAGTTTTCCAGTGTTAATTTGTTAACTTTTAAGTGTTTTACTATGTCTGGGCAAAGTTGTGCCGCAAAAACTATATGAATAAACTGTATTAAAAGATTTTTTCGGTTTCTTAAAGATCTCATTAGGTATGTAGGGTATACTTTTAAAAAAATCCTAGTTTATGAGTCAGTGTTTGTCAGTTATAAAGCTATCAGTAAGATGTAGGTAGGTGCCTAGTTAACGTCACGTAAAGTTTAGCGTCAATTTATATTTACTTATGTAGGTATATTATTAAGATTTAAAGTAAAATGTTATATTTTAAACATCTCCCGTATGGAGTTGACAAAATGGAAAAATCTTTATTTGTATTTTAAGGAAAAAGTCATTATAAAAAAATTCTGTTTGACGAAAAAATAAGTTTACTATATTAATAAATGAAGAAACTTAAAATTGACAAAAGGAAAAACTCTGTATTACCTTATTGATTTTACGAAGAAAAGTCACAGTTTTCCTTCATAACTTTAAAAGGAAACTTTTCCTTGTAATTTTCTTCAACAAGCAGAATTTTTTGTATGGAATATTTTTTTTTCTGAAAAAAAAATGAATATTAATCGTAATTGTGTTATTGCCAAATATTGAAATGCTTAACAAAAATTTAATTCTGATATTCATTTTGATAATTATTCTAGATATGCGAATAACAAAGCTTTATAATCTTGATAAATCTAAAGTATTTTCATTACAAAAAGCAAGAAAATCTTAATTAGCCATTAAAGAAATTATAAGTAGTAAATTAGTAATGAGTGACAATCAAAATCATGTGTTTTAAGCAGTGCTATTAAAAATGTAAAATTCTTATATTTTGTCGAAGTAAATTCAAAAGCCCGCCAATTTTCAAGCTAAAATAGCATTACATCTTTCTATATTACCGACTGAGTATTAATTGCACAAAACTATTCCATATGTCGCTGAAGGTAAACATGCTGCCAAATTTCTGTGAGGAATCTGCAACTCTTAATTATCCTTCCTCCATGATGGTAACTGTGTAAACCCTACATCGGTCCAAATTCAAAGGACGTTCAAAAAATTGCAATGTTTAAATTTATTACATTCTGGAACTGAAAACTGCGAAACAGGTGGGGATGCTTTACTTGTAAGTCTACATGAAATTCGTAGGACTAGTAAGGATGAGCCATTTTCCAAAATCGCGTGTAATGGTGGTAATATTGTCGAAAATGTAAATATAAACAAGCATATTAATGAATTGCATGCACAAAATATTAATATTTTTTAAGAAAATTTTATTATATATGCGGATTTTTAATAAAAAAAATGTCTTAAAATTCAAAGTTGCGATGTATGTACACAATATGCCTTAACACACGAAGACTTCGATATAAGCTCCATGTATTGTTATTATAAAGCATACAAAAAAAGCAAATAAAGATATTTTTGGCAATTTAAAAATGTCAAATAATAGTTTTGTATGTTTAATAACAAAAATTGAAATAATTTTTCATCACAATTTTGAATTATTTATCACTAAATCCGGCGTTTGTAATTTTTTTTAGATTTAATTAATTCCGAGATAACATTTGACGCTCCTTGTCCCCGATTTCCATAAATATATGTTATTAAGGGTCGATTTCACCGTTGTGTTAAACGGAGATTAAAATGACATTGTTAACGTAAAAATGTAATTTTAAACTTCGTTTAACACAACGGTGGAATCGGTCCTAAGTTATATTTAAGGCTGCTCATATATTTCACTTTAAAAATATTAATAGAAATTTGGCGCAATCTGTGAAGCTTTTTTGTTTTAATACGATCCTGCCTATCAATACCTTATTTTATTTCAAAATCTTTAAATACGCTTTAATCCGACCCTGACTAAGACCCCCGAATGGCGTCGTCAAGGTCAAATTTTCTTAGTATAATATTTGTATGCGATCAGCGGAGAGTGGGCCTGCCGATTGTTTTTTATGCCGTGACATGGCGGCCAGCATGATGGGGATCATTTTATTGTATTGACAGCATACTAATACCGGTATCTAGACTTTCTCAGATATATGCACATGTCACTTAATTAATAACTATATAGTATTCATGTTATGTAGCTATCTTGATAAACTGAGTATTAATAAAATGCTTTCTGCAAAAAAAATTAAAAATTAAAATTAAGTCGGAATATAGGAAACTTTTTTAGTCTTAGTTTTATGAAAAAAAGTCGTTCTTTATAAAAAGTTCTGCATGGTCTAAAACTTGAAATACAATCATATCTGTTGGTTGTATTTAAGGTTTTACACCATGCTTGATTTTGTATAAAGAATACCTCTTTTCACAATATTAATAATAAAAAGTGCCGCCAATTTCTGAAGGCAGTTTTTTATTGGCTACATCAGATTAAATTTCACTATAATTATCAGAATTATCAGAATTTTCACCGCAAATAATTTATTGACATTCTCTTCATCGAAAAATTTAAGAAAATACTCAAATACTCGAATAATCGAATGCTCCAATACTCCAGTACTGCAATACTCCAATAATCTAATACGCCAATACTCGAATTATCGTATATTTGAACACTCGAATACTCGAATACTCGAATACCCGAATACTCCAATACTCGAATACTCGAGTACTCGGATATTCGAATATTCGAATACTCGAATACTCATTTTTTACAAAATTACATTTTCTGATGTCTCATTTTTAGGAGTTCTAAAAAATCCTTGCATATAACACTTCCTGATAGTCCCGCTAACCACTTCACAAAATTTGGGCCGCAGCTACAATCATACCACCATGCAGCCAGTAGCTCTTAGGCTATAAGCATGCGCGCTTTATTCAAAGTTTCAAAAGTTTTGGAGTGAGGGTAGCCATATGTGAGTAGTAGGGATTAAGTGTAAAGGTTAAAGAAAAAGTCCTTTATTTCTCACAAAGTCAAAGACCGGTTTCGAAGTTGTCACTTCATCATCAGGCACACCTAAATGGAATATCAAGGAGTCAGTTGTAATAAAAACAATTATAAAAGCATGAACGGACTTTAACATATACAAAATAACAGAAAAAACACAAAAGAAAGTTAAACAATAACCTTGACTCACCTTGACTAATTCCATAAAGGAAGCGCTACAAAAAGTTTAACAGAACGAGTTAAAAAAGTCATGTGTAATAAGTATTTTTAAAAAATGTTTTAAATGTAGGTTAGGTTAAACCACCAGATGTCTTTTTGAATAAAATAATTAATTAAAACACATTTAAGACAATTATTAACTAAACAACACAAAATAGTTTTACAAGCACAAACAGCTTAAAAAATTTAAGGAAATAATGTTAATTACTGAAAGTAAAAAGTAAAAAAGTAAAAATTATCAGACTGTCAAGACATCTATCTAGATTTTTAACGAATCAATGCAGTAAACTGTAAATTTTAAATGACTTTGTGAGAAATAAAGGACTTTTTCTTTAACCTTTACACTTAATTTCAAAAGTTTATTGTATCAAAAGATGATTAAAATATTATCTCATTCCTATGATTTACCTGTATGGACCTATCTACTCACTCCAATAATTTATTACTGCGATTGCTTGATTTAAATATTTGTTATTTATTCTAGTCGTTTAAGGAAGAGGACATGGAAATGAATAAAAAATACCATGAAGAATGTTCGAAAATTTCAGGACTTGAGGCTGAAGCTGTCTACAAAGCCCTAGAAAGTGACTCTGAAATCGAAAAGGTAAAAGAACATGCCCTATGTATGACAAGAAAACTAGAGCTTGTAGATGATGATGGAGAAATCGACATTGAGAAAATTAAGAAACATTTTGAGAAACAATTTCCCGATATTTTAGCGCATTTGGACGAAAAATGTTTTGAGAAGAAAGCTGATCCCAAAGATATCGTTTATACTATTAGCAAGTGTTTAAGTAAATATGTGCAAGCAGCAAATGGTGAATAAAATTATAATATCAATGTTTTATTTATATACATTCTGACCTAGGCATACGTTTTTGGTTTGTTTGTTTTGTAAACATAAAAATGTATAAAATGTACTTACTCAATAAAATTAAAATACCAGGAAATATGTTTTTTGAATCTGAAACATTTATTCACATTTTTTTAAAGTATCTTCCTACATTGTGTAACCTACCGCACCCAGGTACCTTAATAATTTATTAATTCCATTTATTAAATACAATATTGCATTCTTTTAAATTCAAAATTCTTCATTTAACGAAAAATCTCCCAGATAATTAAACCTTATTTACGACACCTAATAAATAATATCTATAACCACGTCCGTAAAAGATGCACGTGGCTGAGTTCCTCGAGAAAGAAAACACCATAAGCCGTATTTCTGTTTACGAAGTAATTATCGTTGAAATACTTATCTCGCTTATTTTTTTAGTTTCGATGTTCAGACCGATATCGACAATATGTCGATACACAAAACTTTCAAGGCAAGTAATAAATAACCCACCCCCTTTTGCACCTACATTCGTATTTTCTATGAGAAGCAAAACGATAGAGACGTCACAGAAACGATTAAACTGTGTATAAAAAGTCTGACGAAAATGAGCTCGGATTCATTCAATTTTTATCATTTGATGTGCAAGCATACATTTTATTATCTGTACCCAGTTATATAATCTGTACCTTTCCTAAACGCTCCTCCTAAACGACGTCTATCCTACAATACCTCCTATCCCCGACGGTGTTAACGTCTCGACGCCCAACTTCCTGCCATCCTACTCCCTACGTCTCGAACGCTGTCATATTCCTCACCATCTAAGTATTTCCTACCGTACACTCATTTCGACGCTCAACGTCCCACGCCTTATTTCGGACGCTTTGCCGTCCATAATTATTTCCTTCATAATATCACGTCCCGCACCACCTACTTAATTCTACCGTATATCTGTCCCAATACAGTACCGTATTAAATACCTTCCCTTCCATCACGACGCTAGACGTCTCGACGATGAACGCCTCGACGCCCAACCCTGCGACGTACCTACATCGACGCCTTCCACGACGCTAGATGAAATTAGTACATAATTTAATGTCTGTATTTTCAATGGTGAGTCAAAAGATTTATTTAACCTTCTTTGAGATACCACCCCGGTTTCGTTTAAGGGCGGCCTGACATTTGCTGTAAAATATTATCAATTTAACCAATAAACTACATGGCCTTCAGGTCATACACCCCGAAAGATAGGATAACATCTGTTTTGGATGGGTGAAATTTGGAGTATTTTAATAGAAATAATAAAAATCAATATTAAGAAATATACAGGGTTATATTAAGTTATTTCAATAGAAATTATAATAATCAATATTAAGAAATATACAGGGTTATATTAAGTTATTTCAATAGAAATTATAATAATCAATAATAAAATACATACAGGGTTGTATTAAGTCATATCAATAGAAATTATAAAGATCAATATTTTGGAAATATACAGGGTTGTGCTATCTTGGATAAATTGTACAAACCAAGATGGTAAAATTTAATAGTAAGTTAACCAACTGGCGAATACGCTGTTCGTTAGCTCAATGGGGGACACCTATACGCTAAGCAACCCGTTCTACAAGGTTTGAAACAAAGTATATGTGAAATCAACATAGTAAGGTAATCAACTGGCGAATTGGCGCTGTTTGTTACTTCCGTTGTTCATCACCTCTATACTCATCGTAATATTTACCTAAGAGGGTGCAACCTGTATATATCTACAATAGAATCAAATCAACATCAACTCAATAGTTAATCAACTGGCGAATTGGCGCTGTTTGTTAACTCTTTGGTCATCAACCTAAATAAGAATATAAACAACAACACTATAGTTAATCAACTGGCGAATTGACGCTGTTCGTTAACTCTGTTGGTCATCAACCTAAATAGAATATGTATTGATAGCAAATGAATATGGTCTGCGTTTAAACGGGACTCAAGTGAGATCTCAGTAAAAAGTAACAATTGTAATATACTTTGCTAATTATTGCATCACATTTAAAGTATGAAAAATAAATAAGAGTTTAAATATGAATTTGTATGTTTTATTTATCAATTTGCACCAAACTTTGCATCGAATTCTGGTTTACCTTAATTAACATTATCACAACGTGGGTACATAAAATATCAATTAATTAACTAGACGATCACTTCTACTACTAGAGGAAAAAGGCCAAATTACAGTATAGAATTTAAAGTAAAACTTGTGAAAAAAAATAACATTTCAAAGAGAGTAAAGTAAAATACAAGAAGAACAAATCAAAAGAAGAGGGGGCCTGGGGGCGGGCCGTCACAATTCCAACCATCTTATGTGTCTATTCAGCGAAACACCTATACAGTGTGTCCAAAATTGGTGATGCATGTATTGCGATCTTCGAAACTGTTAGAGATAGAAAAAGGGTTAAATGGGGAAAATTTTAGACAATTCTGTTTGTAATTCAATGCCGTTTAGTTTGAGATTTTTTCTCTTTTGGTTTTTGAGATATTTTGAAAAAACTAAAATGACGCATTTCCGAAAATACCTTGCATTTTCTTTATTTATGAAAATTTCTAAAATCTGTAAAAACTTTTTTACGTAGAAAACGCGTGTGTCGTAAGATTTCCCCATTTAACAGTTTTTCGATATCTAACAGTTTCGGAGATCGCAATACATGCATCACCAATTTCGGACACACTGTACACCGTTAATATATGAATGAAGCGTATGTAAGATGCAGACTTTGTAAAAACAAAATATACAGATTCTGTACACATTACAAGTTAGTACAGTAGAGTTCTAATGATTATAACATATTTTAATATCTTTTCTTAGCACAATTTGTAATAAGTATTAAATTTACTTGATTTTCCACTAAGTTGCCATTAAATAAATAAAGGCAAAGTAAAATTATCAACTTTATTCTGGATATCGTTTAAGTACAATTTTTATATGAATCTATTTCAAATGTTTTACTCCCATCATACATCTACCTAGTTTATTTAAAGAATCTTCTTCAATTTCTTCTAGTGGCTTTCCTGGAAAATAAAAATAAATATTAAATTAAACCTCTTAATTCAAAAATAAAAATACCTTTTACAATTTTCTAAGGATCAAAGTTCCATTTAGCAAACTAAAACTTCTTTGGTATACTTTCAACCAAATATTTTCTAGAATCATATCTCTAGATTAAGACCGGCTACAAGGCCAACAACAAAAAAAGGGAACTTTTTTGAAACTTTTGCGGTAAGAATTTCATTGGCGTGCACTTTACAAGCTCTTTTAGATGATCAAACGTTATGGCCGTGTTGTTCGGGAAGATTCACAAACTCCGTAAATCGTACCTCTCAGCAATTTTTTTTTCCTTATCAGCCGCTATCCCAATTTTGTCACTCGATGATCGTATGCTGTTGCCTTCTCACTTGACAAAAAAATTACACGAGGCAGCTAACAAAGTTCTGAAAAATTACATAAATATACATGTTATATAAAAAATTCACACTATATGTATATTATTTAATAGTAAATTCTCTAGAGTTAAATAATGCTTAGTTGCAATTCCTAGAATGGTTATCATTGACCTCTAGGATTGTATTCAGCCAAGTTGCATTTTCTTGTAAATGCAACACTTTTGTCACATCACACCTTTTAGATATTTCTTTTGTTTTACCTATGTTATAAATAAGGGTGACACAAACTTAAAAGTCAGTTAGTTAATAACAACTCACCTACAATAAACAACTTATAATTTTTAAATAATAAAATATTTTTTAAAAAACCTTTAGTGTTATTCAAGATATAACAGTGGCGCAGTCAGTAGGATTCCTCAACACATTTAGAACACGGGTATCCTAACTAAGTGTGGTGGTTTCCTAACCTTCAAGGAAGAACAACGCTCAAAGAAACAACATTTCAACTACTGTGGACGGTCTCTCCGGCATCATGAATACGCAATTGGCTCACCTGGTGTAGCAACGATCACGGAACCTGATTTCATCTAAGTAGACGGAAATGAAAACATCATTCACGTAAAAATCTCTCTTTTGTTTAATATTTTTTGTGAAACAACATTTTTACGTTCTATTATCATATTTTTATGAATATCTTTCTAAAAAGTTTAAAATGTCGCAAACACGTTTAACTGCAGCAAATAATAACCCTCAAGATCCAACTCCTCCTATTGAAATGTACAAACTTTCAGAAATCTTTTCAATAGTACCAGAATTTGATGGAAATCAGATTTTCTTAAATAATTTCATAAGTGCTTGCAAAACTGCCATCCGTATGTGCATAAATGATCAAAAAATGCTTTTATTTCTTCATATATAAAAAATAAATTAAAAGGTAGAGCCTCTGTATTAATAAATTCACGAGATCCTAATTCATGGGATGATATAAAAGATTTGCTTGAAACACATTTTTCCAAAACGCGCGATTTAAATTCACTTATTCAAGATTTGCAAAGAATGCGTCAGCTTTCAAACGATACTCCATTTACTTTTATTGCGCGTTTACAAACGCATGAGGCCAAAATGCATTCTGCAATTGGTAAACAGTCTTTGACCGTAGAACAAAAAACCGCACAAGCTCGTCTTGTGGAATCATTAGTTTTAAATACTTTACTAACCGGATTAGATCCTAAAATAGGACATATTGTCAGGGCAAGTAACCCTACAAATATAATTTCAGCTGCAACTAGAATAAAACGTGAAATTCAGTTAAGTTATTTTGAATTTCAAAAAATCCAAAAAAATGATGCCAATCAAGCTTCTAGTTCTAATGTTAATACACACAAACAAACTCCGCCTGTCGAACAATGTTCATTTTGTTAACGTATTGGCCATACAATTAATGAATGCCTTACTAGACAAAGACAAGCTCAAACTTTCAGAAACAATTCTGCACAGAATTTCCCGAGCTCTTCTGGCTCAAGCCAAACTCAACCTTTCCAAAATAATTCTTATAATGTACAAAGAGGACAAGCGCCTCCAATTCAAAATCGTGAATCAGTTATTAAGCCTAATCCTAATGTAAATTATAGTAGACCATCCGTTACACAATGGGGCATGTTCAAAAATTTTGAAAT